ATATATATGAATCTTTATGATAATTTAGTACTACGAATATTATTTGAAAATTGTTGTTTATTTTCATACGTCATTTTTTGTTTGTTTGCTTAATTTTCTTTTAAATTTATTTATGTTTATCCGTTTCGTTTTAAATTATTCGAAGGTATTATTTATGTAGACAATGAAAAGGATATTAATAAATAAAATATCAGCTAATTACTGTGTTTTGAAGACTTCATTAGCAGTACAGGACAGGACATAATGTTGCTCCACCGAATGCGTGCCATTCTTATTCGTCGCTACAACTTTATACACTCCTTGATCTTGCAATGTTGGATTCTAAAATAACTGTTAAATCTTAGTGAATAGAAATGCATTAAATATCATTCCATATTTCTCTGAAATTTATCCGTAAAAAAATATGAACTGGATTTTATCAAAGTTTTTGATATATTACTTAGAATTGGAATTTGATTATGAAATGTGTAAATCCTCTTTGCGGCTATTCATCATGATTTCAAATTAAACAATCTTCGAATGTTTAATATGTTGGTTATAAGACATTAATCAGGTAAATCTATATAAAAAGAATGATTTTCGAATTTTCAAAATTTTAATTTCAAAATAAATCAATCATTGCTTAATTCCTTATCCTGTTTTATTTATAAAAAAATAACCTTCATTGTCATTGTGCATGTCCATTTACCAACCATTTTTTTTGTTTTCATCGTATATCGATCACCGCTTAATTCTTTATCCTGTTAATGAGAAGGATGAAGAAGAATAATTTTCAAAATTTTAAGTTTCCTTGAAAAATTACAATGGATTTTTAATATTAACAAAATTACTGGAAATTTCTATCGGAAAAAAGTTTTCCATCCTGTATTGATAAAAAAGAGTAGAATAAAAGAGTCATACATGCTATAGAAGAGATGAAAAGCTCAAAATTTTATTCTCGACAAAAATTACCTTAAAAAACCATTGTATCGTTGGTTCGGGATTAGCATTACACATACATTCGAATAATACACTACCATCAGGCTTATTAATTATTGATGGAGCTTTATCAAAGAATGGTGCAAGGCTCATGATTTTTCACTGAAATAAATGTATTTCAAATTACATCACAAATATTTTCAACATATTTTTTACTACGAATTGATTGCCTATCTTTTATTACTTGCCTAAGTGATTCAGCATATCTTTTTTTTTTATTATTTGCCTAAAATGATTTGAGGCCAAACTATTAGATTAATTTATTTTGAACAAAATTCTATTATAAAAATTAAAAGAAGAAAGCGAAAGAGATTGTGATTTCAACTAAAATGAATGAATGATGTTAGAGATGTTAGGGTTAGTAATTGTGAATTTGTTGAGAAACATCCCACAAAAACATTTTTTTTTTCTTTATGCACACATTGCAACAAAATTTCAGCAAATTAAATAGTGCCGCATAGCACATTGCTATGCGGCACTATTTAATTGTTATCATTTGCAATGAAGAATAAAAAAAATTGGTGATAATAAATGGCAAAAGAAGGAATACTCCTATATTAAGCATGTGTTATATGATAATTATTGATGATTATAATTCACATTTACAATTAAAAAATGACTGAAACGATTCATTCAATGTTTCGAGTTTATAGAATAATTATATAAACTGGTGAATCATTAGAAAATTTAAATTCAACGCTAAAAATGAGCACTGAAATTGTTGAAAATAAACTTTTCTTATACTTCTTCCTTGTTGTCATAAATGATATAAACTTACATATGTGATAAGATAACATAACAACAGCTGCTACCGTTTTAAAATCGTTTTAAAAATGAGGGAGAAAGTTTATTTTAGTGAACAGTTGCAGTTAGCAATAATACTTACATATTTTTCGACTCAACTGATTACTTTTAATACTCGTTGTGCACCTCGAGAAACTTTAGTTTTAAACTTTACGCTCTATGAATAAAATTTGAGGGAGTCATTCTTGAGTCGCAATTTTTCCATATTCAATTTTACTCAAATTAATTTAATTTAATTCAATATAATTCCGTAGTATTTGTTACAATTTAATTTTACTTACTGTATTCCAAAATGAATAATGAATTACTTTCATAATAAAATTTAAAATTCATTGCACCGCACCAAATTTTTAGACTTTATTAACATTTTAAAAAAAATTTTTAATTTTTTAGATTTTGAAAAAAAAAAATTAGATATAAACTTTAATATATCAATTGAAATTAGTAGTATATCGCAATTGCCTGAGAAAAAAAAAAAAACATCATAGATTGCAGCAGCAGTATTATACGTATTCATACGTATCGTTCAGGAAAAGGTGCTTAATTCATTTCCGGACGTGACAATTTTCATTGCATTCTGCTGTTTCCTAATCGATTGGTTACATGAAGTAAAATTACATTAACAGCTCAAGTAAATACATGATATATTTAAATTATATTAAAAAAATAATAATCATTTTTTTCCATATCACAAAAAAATTGAATTGAAGTTTTAAATTGCACTAAAATGATTAATCATTTTCCATATTGCTAAAAGTTATAATTGCATAAATTCTCTTTTTGCATTTTTGAAAATGCGAATAATGTGGCGCAACAATTTTGCGTTAATAAAAATGAATTATGAAAATTTTAGTTATTATTTATGATATAATAAATTCAAGGTTAATATAATGGAAGTAAATATGTAATGTGTTACGTCAAAACCGGTTCCCCATCTTTATCGTCAATGGACAAATGAACCGCATCATTGATACATTGTTTAGAATTTTGTGTATTAATGCAACTGGTTTTTGATAAGATCATAAGAATGGTTTGGTGCGATAATGCTTTTAGAAGTTATAAAAAGACATTACCCATTACTTTTTATTGTAATAAATGTTACAAAGATGATAGTTTTTACTGAGAAACATAAAGGAATGGGTTTAAGAAGAAGCTGAGGATATATTCTCGACAGCATTCGACGAATCATTTTAGGAAACCAATGATCAAGAGGAACCCGTAACACGATGAACTTGATCGGTAATTTTCAATGAGTACAGTGGTCCATGTGGCAATTCTCTTAAGGCACTTTCTTACTTCTCCATCCTTTTCTCTTTTAATTTCTTCTATCCTGGCCAATTTTCACATACCGCGGAGAATTTCTGGTTCATTGAGTGAGGTAATTTTTTCGTCCTTTCTATAGGGTATTCTATAGAGTACCCTTCCTTCTAAATTTCTTGGCGTCAAATTCGTTCTTTATGCTTGATTAAATACTCACTTCTCTATATTTCCCAAAATGTATCCGAAGCCTTAAGAGTGTTCAACTAATATTTAATAAATCATTCTCTGGTAATTAATTTCTAAGAAATGAATTCTTCCTTATCATTGTTGTTAGCAGTTGCGCTAACTAGAAAGGGTAGCTAAAGATTAGACATGATAAAATCAATTAGTCATATGATTACGTAATCATTAAAGTTTCCGTACGTTAGTGATCGAGAGTAAAAAATATTCTTTTTATTTCTACTGTTAGTGTAATTAATCATAATAACTTCATAATAATCCATAATAATTTTTTTTAAGGCCTTTCATTGCTGTTAGAAAATTTATTAATTGTGTATCTTGCTTCATAGATTTTACTTTTTTTTTTTTTAGTCTTGCAAGTCTTTCAAGAAAAAAAAAACTGGAATTGACTGGCATTATCATTCAAGACTAATTTAGAATACCTCGTTCGGCAATGAATCTCCTTGATATGTGCAAAAAAAAAAAAAAAAAAACTTTTGGGGGATAAATTTTCTACCTGTTTTAAATGCATCGCTCTTATTGTAAAACATGTAAAGAGCCATCTTTTGGCTATGTCAGTTTCAGTCTTGATAGAAAGAGGATTCTGATAATGTCCAAGTACATTTATTGATAGCTAGAATGGTTTCTTTTCTATCTTTTACAACTCATTCATTTATTCAATACTCGCTTAATTTTGGTTCTATCTTTGATTCTCCAGAATTCTATTCTCAACTGGCATGATACAGTTTCTTTAATCGCCTTTTGAATTTCCAATAACAATTCCTTTCATTATAGTACAGATTTCATTTGTTTATTTTTTTCTTCAGTTATTCCTTCTGATCGTGCTTGCTTGATTAGAACTTTTGTCGCTAATGTAAGATCTTCTAATTTTAGATGACTTTGCTCTTTTTGCTAAAGATTGTAACGATAGAAATTTTCCTTTGGTTATGAAATTTATGAATTTTAGAATTCATGCAATTATTCTCAACAATCTTGACTATCTACTAAAACGATTCGCATCCATAAATTTACAAATTCTATTTGTAATAACTTCCACCTTTGCAACAAAAATTTTTATCTTTTATCATATTTTTTCATCATAAGTTATATTTCCATTGTGGCCAGTTGCTTTCTTTCTTTTCCAACTATGGTGGTCCTTTCTAACACATTTTGCAATTATCAAGTTTTATTAGCTGCAATTACATTTACTTAGATTGTAACAGGACAAGAATTTTTGCCTTTATTATTTTTAGTACTCGATTTTGTATAAATTTTGGCAATAATCGAGAGCAAGTGTATTGGAATTGGACTATCATATTACTGATTACAAATTTCACTACTCATTTCCAAAGGTCATGAGTATTACCAGTAACTCCAATGGAAGCATAGTGTGATGTCATTAATCGGTACAACTTCACGGATTGAATTCCATGGCTCCATATGTAAATATTTACAGAATAGATCATATTTGATGCATCTGTAAAGGAAATAAAGTTAAAGTTGTGTTGAACATATATTAAAGCTTCTTTGAAAATAGATTTCAACACCATTCATTAATTAAACATTTTCATTTTTTCTTTATCTTCGTCGCTTATAGATTAATTCCAAATGTTATTCGTCCTTTATAGGTTTTGAAGAAATAAATTTTCTAGAATTTTAAAGTGTTTTAAAAGATTTCAATTCCATTAATCGGCTTACCGATTGTGCTCGAGAATAATTTTGTTGAATTTTTGTCATTTGAAAGAAATTTCATTATGTTCATTGAAGCTTCTTTGTGAATAGATTTTATTTCTTCACAATTTTTAAATGCTTCTTGGGTTCCTTTAATTGGTTATATTACCATATAACATGTCGACGTAGAGATTTTTTCCGATTTACAAGGTTTCCATGAATTTCTGGATGATAGTTTGGTGGTAAAAATGAAGATGATATCATTCAAAATGGAAGTATTTTGAAATAATACATACTATATCGTCCTTCGTTACTTGTCATTGAATATTTTTAAACCATAAGAAAGTTTCACTCCGATAGAAATATTTCAATTTGCAAAAATGCCTTTTCAACATCGACTATGATCACATTTTCGGCTATTATCACATTTTATCATATTTTGTTATCATATTTAAAAAATTTATCACATTTTCCACCATTCTAAAACGAAACAATAAACCTGCAAAGTCGGGAAGCAATCTGAGCATCATCTAAATTTTTTATATCTTTGAGGTGGGCTGAAGCATTGTAAACGATTTTTCATTTCGTCGTCGATTTGTCTGGTGTCAAATAATGCGTAATAGCAATCTAATTCATGTTTGAGGTCACTTCTTCAATTATATTAGACTATATTTGCTCTTGAACTATTTCACTGTATTGAAATAGTTCAAGAGCAAATACAGTCTAATATAAGGTCTATTAGTAATATTAATAATGTTTACATCTTCCGAAACAAAGACCACAATTAACATTTGGGCTAACTTTTAAATTCTTCCAATAGCAATAAACTGGATATCTTTTTGTTCTTCTCAATGATAAATTGTTTTAATGCCTTCTCATCATTGTGGAGATATGGTCATTTTTAAATATCTGTTATCAGAATTGTTCCACATCCTGGAATCGTAGTAACATTATTTACATTCATCAATTTAATCCTAGCAGAAGCGATATCGAATTCAATTATATCCAATTTCCAGTTATTACATGATCAACCTTTGTGAAAACTACGTAAAATCTGATATCGTATTGTGGAATTCATATGGCGACATGAACTCAAAGAAGTAGTCAGTTGTAGGCTGTTTTTAATATCCTTCTTGCAC